AATCTGCTGGTTCTGCACTACAGAAATAATGTAGTTTGACATCGCTTTAACCTCCATGGTTTATTGGTATGGAATTCTGGCATTTGTAGACCTATGAGATATTTAGTCTCTATCAGAGAGCTTTGGTGCCAGAACAAACTATAAATCCCAGGTTTCCATAGGATGACAGTGAAAGTGTGTCAAATGCATTATTCTGCACTGCACATCCCACCTGGATGTGTACATAACTGTGAGCACTGGTACATGTACATATGTAAGACAGTACATGTAATATTTACACAAGAACTGAATTTATTTAAATAAAACTGTCTTAATGTTAACAATGTTATTCCCTTATAAAATGTTAAAATAAGAATATGCATGACTTAGAGTGAATGAAAATATGCACACTAAGCAAACACATTCTATGTTGGGGGGGACTCAACTTCCACATGCAGATGTAAAGGGGGTCACAAGTAAAAAGTAAGAGAACCACTATGTTAGGACAGTCACTTTCCAGCCAGGCTTTGTAGGCTTGGCATTAACTGCAGTTCTATAGGCAACAATTAGCAAGCAATTTTCACAGCCCAGGATGCCCTCACCTTTGGGGGGAGACATTTGGAGCCTCATTCTGCTAAATCAGGGGTAGGCAACCTTTCCCCTTTAAGGGCCAAGGGGCTTCAGCTCCCAGAAGCCTCAGCCATGTTGGCCAATAGTTCCATGTTGGCCAATAGCTCCTGGGATTCTGGGAGCTGAAGTCCCTCGGCCCTTAAAGGGGAAAGGTTGCCTACCCCTGATCTAAAATTATCTAGCTGAAACAGAACATGGCAACATGGCTAACATCCTGTTGATGACACAGGATGGCATAAGTTCCCATAGGCTGGTGGCTATACTTTTTCTGTCATTGTGAAATAGATATACCATCTATATTTGTGTACAATTTGACCTCATATAAGTCAAGGGAAGATTTTGGGACCAAATAATGGATTTTGATATGGCGCATGGATAAGATGAGGGTAAAACTTAGGGGTATGTAACAAAGGATGTAAAGAGGAAAATACCATTTCTCTCCCTCCTTCTCCTTCTCTGCACCTCTCCCAACCACCTAACACCACTTCCCAGGTGCTGGAGGAGATGGTTTTAATATTGGATTAGGAAGGGAGGCAAGTGGAGTTAAATGGACTGTTTTATGGGGAGAAAGATCCAGAGGAGGAGGAGGAGGAGGATGGGGAGAGAAAGAGGGAATACCTCTCTCTCTCTCTCTTTCACACACACACACACACACTTGCCCTCGGCAGCTGTTTCAGAAATCACTGCCAAGGCACATGGGGTTGTGCTTCTTTCAGGACCTTTCTAAGCAGTATTACCGTATTGACCTGTATTTAAGTCAACCCAGGATTTTAGGGTCAATTTTTGGGCATAAACTTTTCAACTGATAGTTGAGTATATACAGTATTCACTTCATGACTGCACAAGAGGAGTCCGTCAAGTGTAATTGTTGAACATTTGCACTTTTTAAATTGATCATGATTTGAGAAGTGATGGATTGAGGAGTAAGGGCCTAAGCAGACGGGCGGCCGTGGGCCGCCCTGGGAAGCTGCACCAGGGGACCGAAGCATCCCCATGCTTCGATCATGCAGCACAGCTTTGCCACCCCTGAAAGGAATGCTAAATTAGCGCTCCTTTCACAAGTCAGCGAAAGTGCGCCGCAAAAGGCTGCAGCGCACTTTTGCTGACTTTTCCACCGCAGCACGTGGAAAGGCTGCGGCAGGAGGTCCTCCTCAGAGCGCCGGCCGTGCGGAGGGCTGGCTGCTCTGAGGATGACCTCGGGAGGGGGTTGGGGCACCGAGCGTGCAGCTGCCCCTCCCCTTCCCTGCACCGAAGACGGCCTTTTAAGCCATCTTCTTAGGCCATCATGGACTAAGGGCCCTGATCTGTAATTTCTCCAAGTGTCTCCTTGCAGTCACGATTTGTTGTTACACAGTGGGAATGTGCATCAGTGTAATTTCAGATACACAGTGGGTTAGTTAATGTCCCCACCCACTATATGGGTGGCCTAGCACCACCACTGAGTAACTCCAGCAGTTAGTTACTATGGTGCCCCACTGTAGGACCTCAACAATAAAGAGCTAATTTCTATAGATCAATTTCCATCAAGGATGATTATAGAGGCTAATTAAAAAGCTCGCCTATTTGCTATGCAGAGTGGTGAAGGGAGTGGTTGGTAGTTAATGATGTATGCTATGCTGGAGGATAAATGAAACCCTGTTGTTCTAGTGAGATTATTAAGTCCATGGAGGAGATATTGAGAAAGAGTTGGAAACTGGGTGTGCCTCATGGACTGGTCCCTGTGTCTCAATTTTTGTTATATGGTCTGTTCATGCTGCTGAGTACCTTTTTCCAATGCAGTGGATGGTAGTGTCAACATCAGTGGGGAAGTGAATCCTCTGGTTTTTCCATCTAAATCAGTGGTTTCCAAATTTTGGGCCTCCAAATGTTTTGGATTTCAACCTCCAGAATTCCTGACTCTTGATCAAACTGTCTATGACCCCTGGGAGTTGAAGTCCAAAACACTTGGAGGACCAAAGTTTAGGAATTGCTGATCTAAATGTTAGAGCAATTCGTCAAGGTGCTATTTGGAGATGATATAGAAGACAGCAGTCATCTTTGGCTGTTCAGTTTAGGAGACCCTTCAGAAACAAGAACACCTCCCTCTCTACAGCTGGGCTCCTGCAATGTGCTATACATTGAGCTACCTTTGTACCAAGTCCAGAAACTCCAACTGGTTCAGAATATGGCAGCCAGATTACAGGTACATCCAGGAGTTATCACATTATACTAATCTTAAAAGCACCAATTAGTTTCTGGGCAAAGTACAAAGTGTTGGTTATTACCTTTAAA